CCGCACACGCACACGCACACACGCATTGATTTTTTATAACTATTCTTGCAGGCGGTAATACATAGTTTTAAATATGCCTGCTGGCTGAAATATCGAAGTTAGAATTCTTTGATGAAGCACCAGCTGCTAACCGAGCCCTACTAATAATTTTTCAGCTTAACTCGGACATGGGCAGTCATCTATCACGAACATTCACGTATGTCTAATTGAGAGAACGTCGCAATCGACGAAACCAGGCGAAGAGCATTTCCAGTACAGGGGACACGTTATGGAAAAGCGCGGTGTGCAAGAGCGAGGAAATACTGCATGAAAGGTATGTTGGTCTGCATATTTTCAGCTGTTAGAGGGCGCTGGTGGGCGTCAACTTGAAATCTCTGCCCCGATTTTCCTCTCTCTTCTCTCTCATCTCTCTCTCTCTCTCTCCCCTCGCTCTTTCTTTCTTCACGCGCGTCTCTCTCTCTCTCTCTCTCTTTCTTCTTTCTCTGCCCGCTTCTCCATCTCTCTCTTCTTCTCTCTTCCTCTCTACTCTCTCTCTTCTCTCTCTCTCTCTCTCTTCTCCTTCTGTCTCGCACTTTCTCTCTCTCTCTCTTTTCTTTCTGTCTCTCTCTCATCTCTTCTCTCTCTCTTCTCTCTTCCTCTCTCTCTCTCTCTCTCTCTCTATCACTCTCTTCTCTCCCTCTCCCCTCTGCCCTCCTCCTCCCTCTCTCATTCTCTGCTCTCTCTCTTCTCTGCTCTTCTTCCCCCTTTCTCTCCCTCTCTCTCTCTCTCTTTCTCTCATCTCCTCTCTCTCTCCGTCTCTCTCTCGTCCTCTCGATCCTCTCTCTCTCTCGTTCTCACTCGCTTTCTCTCACTCAGATATTGCCGTTAAAATTCACCGCAACAGCGGCAGTTTTGTTTCTTCCTGAGTGGCGTTAGGTGTAAGCTAGAGTTTGATTGATGCTACACACACCGTCGGATAGATTGGAAGGCCGTACCGTGGTAACGTACGCGTCAAGCTAATAACAAAACGCCGCGAAGCATTTGAAGGTCCTTTCCCTAGTAATAATGCCTGGGTTCAAGTCACTGTGCCAGTAAACACCTAGTTTACATACAAAATTTTTCTTTTTTGGAAATATCATATCTCATGAGCATTTTTGTTCCATAATAATTTAGGGAAGACATGATATGTATTAGTGCGTGATCGATAGCAGCTTTCAATTTGTTCTGCAGAACTTGCAATGTCAGATTTATAAATGGCGCGCATGATGTTGAATAATAAATAGCGAAACTTTTGACAAGTATAAATTCCACAAATGCATTATCCCAAACTTGACAGCAACCAAATGCAAAATCCCAACTCCCAGTATGCCTCTTTGGACTATGAATGACCTGTAGCACTTTACACTTATTGGATAACTTGGATGGCGTACAGAGCACGTATGTATGGCTATATAGTTTAGTTGCGATTTTCTGTCACGAATCATCATGTTAGATTTGCTTAACGCAATTCTTGTGCGTGGAAATAATTCTTTTAACCGCTATAATGGTAACTATGTGTGCTATGTTACTGAGTCGGCTACGTTTTGTCTAATGGCTAGTGAATTATTGATTGAACTTGAACGAGATGCCGATTCAAATATCTGTCACTAAGCATACTGCGTAGAATGTACTAAACGCGGGCACAAATGGAATAAAGGTCACATATATATATATATATAGTATATATATATGTATATATATATATATATATATTCATATATATACTCCTTTGGTATGTTGTCTGTTGTGGTGTTGGTGGGTGTGTGTGTGTGTGCGTGCGTGCGTTGCGTGCGTGCGTGCGTGCGTCGTGCGTGAAGGGCGTTCTGTCTGTCTTGTCTGTCTGTCTGTATTATGTCTGTCTCTCTTTGTGCTGGTGTGTGTGTGCGAGCGCTGCGCGTGGGGTGTGCGTGTGAGTTCTGAGCGTGGATGTGCGACTTGTGCGTGTGCGTGTGCGTGTGCGTGTGCTGTGCGTGTGCGTGTACGTGTGCCGTGCGCAGTTTGGCGCCGTCTTCGTGCGTGT